ATATGAGTATGTGCAAGGAAGGACTGATGATGATTCTCTTAGCGGGTCGGCCAGGCTAAACAAACTCATCGTAGATTTTGCGTTGAAAATACAACTTTTTAACTAATTTCAAATGTAATTTATATGCTGAAGATGTTATTTTCCCTATTTCTACCATATAAAGCTACTTCTGATGTTCAAGTACTTATACAAAATATGTTCACGCTGGGTTGATGCCAGTTGACGCTTGTTGACATATTTGAATAGGACCCCGAAAATATCAGAAGTACGCCTACAACCTATCTGACCTGCCAAATGAACCTTGCATGCCAAGGTCTATAATTCAGTGCCTTAAATATACATCCGGCACAATGATTGTTTACCGCGTTATGTAATTACTCATGTAAATACAACCATGTTTAGTTGTGCAATGCACAGTAGGCTGCTTACACAGGCACAAACAACTTTAGTATCCTGTGCCTTGAATTTACTCAATGGCTAATAAATTACACAGTAAATACAAAAAAATGCACTCATCCTCATACCATTTTATACAACAATCCTCTTAGAAATGTTGAGTCACCTGTCCACTAATTAGCCCTATAACCTCACCTAAAGCTACAAAATACTACTCAGTAGTAACCTGTAGTATGCATTTCTTTTCATACAAGTGTGCACAACACATGTAATTCTGTGGTATTTGATCCTTGACCCCCAAAGAGCCCTTAGGACGTTAGGGTTCAAGTCAGAACGAAACTCGGGCAATCATTTTCCGGCATATCGCAGAACTTTAGTGACAAAAGGTTCCCCAACAAACCCTTCAAATCACACCTCAATTTACAGGTACGGCTCAGCAAGCGTTGGTCAGCCATGCTCAACAATAATGATTGCACAGGTGTTAGGGAGAAGCCTACATGTACCACTCAATAAGGCCCCAAAAAAATAGTTCTGCTTCCGGTTTCCCTACCAACCCTAGTTTGACAGCCCCTACCCTGATTTTTTTTATTGGAAAAATGAGAAAATAACACCCAAAACCATCAATTTCTGCCTTTTACCCTTGACTACACGCAGATGCCTCCATACGATCGTACACAAAAAAAATTGACCCCCGAAAAAATCCCTACCTACCTATCCTATTTTCGAATGCCATGTAATCGGAAGCAGAACTATTTGGGTTTTTGGCCTAACCATAAACTTTTAAAGACCCCATGGCATGAATTTTATTTCGGCTATTTTGTGCAACTTTCTACTCGACTTAAAGCTATAGTCCATCATTTGCAGCCATCCGAAAAGTAACTGGCGTAATTATTGTTGAAAAACAAACTTGGTTGAAAGATAGTAAGGGAACTAAACTCCCTGTGGAATTTTTCTTTCTGGGAAGCTGTCATTTTGAAGTAATCAACGAAAGAAGGCATTTCCAACGGTGATTCTTAAGAAGCACCGTAGGAAAATTTAAATTAGTAGTTCGTTTTGTTATTCAGCGCAGCGCGCACAAGTATTGGAACGACGCACACGCGCGCGCGGTTGTTATAATTCGTCGGATCAGTGCGCGACGTCGCGTATAGGTGCAATTCAAAACAATTCAAAACATGATTCAGTAACTTTTGATTTGAAATTGAGATCTTAGAATGCTGTTTTTCTCGGAATGTACAGCTGAAGCTTAGCTGAAACTTCATCAGGTTAGTTGCTCAGTATCCTTCATTAGATTTTGAACTCTTTTGTTGCTTCAAACGAACAAAATGCACAAATTACAAACGATGGACTGTAGCTTTAAATGTGTGGAAACTATTTGACATCTCTGTTTGGTTAATTGTATTGAAAAATGCACATTTGTAAACGTTTTAAATTGTCCATGTTTGTCTTGACAAATTGAGGGCGCTGTTGCTGTGATGTCTTTTCAGGAAGACACTGTTCAGTTAAGCGGTTTTATGTTAAAAGTGTGAACCCAAAGTTGCTCATTGAAAATATTTGTTGGAAAACTTTGCTCACTGGCCTGATGTCATGTACTAAAACAACAACGAATCACCAAAGAAAACAGGCATGCAACTGGGAATTTAGAAACACCAAGGAAATTCCAAGCCACACAAGACTTTGTACAGCGTTTTTCAATTTGTAATGGCATTCATGAGAAGTAGAAAACTAAGAAGTCAGCATACCGGAGGAAAAGTTGCATGCCTGAAGAAAAGAAAATTACGATAGCATAATATCAAAAATTGTGGCAAATGTTGATGCTGAAATAGCTGTAACGTTGAGGTTTGCACCTGGAATGACATCACACTTTTGATCATGAATATGCAAATTCACATTAGCATAAAAACCAAAAAGGCACCAAAATATCCTTAAAAATGGCAAAAATGAACATTGAAAATTATGGGACACAAGGGTGCATTTCCAATGATTCCATTAAATAAACTACGGCCCTTTAAAGGCCAAATTCTTACCTGCTACTCAAAATAAAGTACAACTTGCGTTGTCATGTCCAAAGATTTTGTATAGTGTGACCGATGTCACAATATGTCAACGGTCCTTGTGCGTGCGATCGCTCATTCAAACGGGCTATTGTGTAAACTGATTGGCCAGCGTCTGCCTCACAACCTTGAAATCCTTGGCCTATTACATAATTGGGGTTGTGTGATTGGTTAGTGCGTAGGCAAGTCTACTTAATTAAGTATGAGATCAGCAGCAGCATGCCTTTTGGGCAACTGAATTGAAACAATTAGCCCTACAAATCCTGGAATGTGCTGAGTGATGCAAATTACTTTTCTTACTGGGCAGGCTTGTCACTTAGACAAATGTTGCATGTTGCTGCATTTGGCTGGGTTTCTAGCCAAAATACCTTGGAGGGTTAGGGTTAATATACAAAAGTTATGAACTTGAGAACACTTTCAAAGTGGCTCCATGTAAAAGGGTAAATCATTAGGTCTCTTCAGTTATGGATAGCCGAACGTCATTGAATTAAAAAAATAAATAAATAAAATAAACCTCCAATTCCAAGTTGGTGAGTTAAGCTGTCAGATGAATGTGCTGTCGCAGCTGTGGACAGTGCATAAAAAGAGGCATGTACATGTAAGATGTTGGTGCATAAAATGGCACATAATAATGTTATCCGTGAATGATTGATCATTCCAGAGTTTTTGTTTATCATCACATAGCCAAACACAAACTTTTTCCAAGTTAACCTGATTCAGTGGCACATGAGCTATCTAAAATAGTGTGCAGTCACAGTAAATTATGTTTTTTTTTGTGGGGGAAAAAGTTGAAAGTGTTTGAGCATAAATGGAGTATCATGTTTCATGATTAAATGAGTCATTTCAAAGGTTTTCTACTCATTAACATAATAAGTACCTAATGCAAAACTGTACTCAAAACTTAGCTCTGGCATTTGCCAAACTTGACATAGCTTTGGCTATGCCCATTACAAGGTGCTTCAATTGAAATTAAGGTATCAATTGAAAGTTAATGAGCTACCCCTTAAGATGGAGCCTCTTTGAAATTGTATAATATCCTTACCTTCACATATGAGCCATTTTGCTATTGCAGTTATTTTCACACACCCTGTATAGCCATCCAATGTCTACAAACAAGTAGGCCATGCTACCGACATAGACTAACCATCTGCTGTAGGCATGATGGCAAGAAGTTCTAACCGATATTGGAAAGCTTTTTCAATATGACCGACGTTGGCTGGTACACAGTCCAATGTTGGAAAGACATTCTAAGATCGATGTAGGTTGCAAGGTTGTTCTGGGAACATAGCCCGACGTCGTTGCCTGGACGTGTCAGCTGTAAATCTTCCTGTCAACGTCGGTAAGATACCTTAGGTATGACATTGACTGGAAGTCACAACACTCACGTAGGCTGAGAAGCTGCTTAAAGGTATGACAGCACGATGTATTATGATCAAAATCAGCAAGACATTCTAAGACCATGTTAGCTGCAAGGTTGTTTTAGGAATACGGTGCAGCTTTGTTGCTCGGACGTATAGGCTAAAACCAATCCTACTGAAGTTGGCCAGACACCCAAAAATAATGAATTTTAAATAATAAATTATTTTAAAGTGGCTCGAGCCGAGTCACAGTGTGTAGTCGGGTCGAGTCAAGTTGAGTCAATATTTAGCTCGAGTCAATTCGAGTCACAAATATTTGAATACTATATAACAAATAAAGAAAAGAGAAAAAAGTTATTTGTATCACTTAAAGTTAATAAAAGTGAAACTTCGGTCTTATAGGCTATCCGGTTTGGCTTCGGGTCTAGAATTCTTTTTTCTGATCACTGACAACATCAAAACCAAAGTGTTTAAACAGATGATATTACATGTACATGTATTTGTAGACATGAATGTCTTAAAATGGTCGAAGTTAGTAATGTTACTTCTTACATTAAGGTTGGCAAATGAAGAACCACCTGCAGTTTGGTTGTGAATGATGCCATCTGTTTCTGATTATTTTTTAGGGCATGTATCTATTTAATTTTTAAAAGGAGGGCATACATTTAGCCAGCGTCCGAATCCAAGAGCTTAATAAGAAATCGCCTAAAGCCAAAGATGAAACCAAGAACTAAAAAATGTGTTTAAAAGTCCGGTTCCTGGATAGAATTTTGTGCGTTCCAGAATCACAAGGTCGAAGTCTGTGACACGTATGTTTGTACATGACAAGTGGCTACTGTACCGTACTGTATTTGCAAAGTGACGTGTTTATGAACATAACATTTTGCACTGTAAGTCATTGTAAATATTTTTCGCAAAGTTTCGCTTTTATTTTTGAGACTCGAGTCTTATTAGTCTTCGCTTGAGTCAAGTCAAGGCTTCTGATGAGGGACTTGAGTCAAGTCAAGTCATTTGCTCGTAGTGACTCGAGTCAAGTCATTATAATCTTGGGGACTTGAGTCAAGTCAAGTCGAATCAACAAAAATTGGAACTCTAGTCGGACTCGAGTCGAGTCATTGACTCAAGTCATTACAACTCTGGTTGTCAGAAAGTGAGGGAAATTATCTCTCAAATCATATGTTCAAGAAACACTTACAATATTCCAGAAGAGAGGGTTGAACATTATATTAGCAGCAGCAATGAATAAATTGTGATCAGACCAGTGAATCCTGGGGCCTTGGCACTCTGATAGCAATACCGGAAATTCCATCTAATAAAAGAACAATACAAAACAATTTGAGAAAGATTCATGTGAAAAAAATTAGTATAAGACTACTATAAATATGTCTTATTTTGTAGAATACCATGGCAAGTTCAAAGGAAATCCTGATGACTAAAGACTAAGAAATGAAGGAAATACATAAACAATGACATGAAGATTACGGTAGCTCAGACGAAAATCAATACAAAAGACAACAATTTCCAGCAGCCTACAGTAAAAATCTGCATTCTTTTACAAAACACTCGGAACTTGACCAAGATTCTGTTTGATCCTGTTCAATTCAAATAATTCAGCACCACCTTGTATACAAGGGCCAGTTTTTGTAAAAACCGTATAAAGTAACGTTTGCAACTTGGGAGTGCAAAGAGTGGGCATATCAACTTATCTTTGGAGGGTCATATCTAAGAAACTCTTAGAATATGATGCCTAAAATTCTGCATGTGTTCATACATGTAATACACGAAAAGGTGCTGCCAGCAAATGTTTCAGCCACATTTGGGTTGTTTCCTGTGGAAGATTTCTGGGCTTTGGTTGCATCCATATGGAATGACCCAAATTTGAACTTCAGGACTGCAAAAGTGTTTCATGCAACAATCCATGTCACCAGCAACCCTGATCGTTTGCAATTTGAAACACTGTGATGAAAGCACTTTCTTTGAAAAGCCAAGTTGAAGTGCCTTACCTTACTGAAATCCAGCATGCCAAAACTTTCACAGCAGCCACTCTCCATTCCAGATCCGTACTTAAAAGTTGACCTTAAAAAAGGGGGGGGGGAAATGGCAAGTCAAATTAAAAAGCCTCCATTTTGTGACTAATGCACAAATCCCCAAGCAAACACCACTGCAATATGAAACTTATAAGATTTCCATATAAGGCCACACAAAAAATAGTTCTGCTTCCGATTACATGGCATTTGAAAATAGGATAGGTAGGTAGGGAATTTCATTTTAGCCATTTTTGTTGTGGGCACGATCATGTATGGAGGCCTCTGCATGTTGTCAAGGGTAAAAGATAAATATTGATGGTTTTCAAGGTTTTTTCCCTCATTCCCATAAAAAAATAGGGTAGGAGCTTTTAGAATAGGGCCGGAAACAGAACTTTTTTTTTTTTTTTGGCCTAAGCCATCTTGAATTGAAGGAAAAAATCAAGCATGATCTTGTTTTACCAAACTACAGGAGATAATTACTGTGGTGAATGTTGGTTGGCCTTGTAGAATTTCTTAATTCAATTTGATCTCCTTATTTTGTGGTTTATTAAAAAAAAAAGGACTTGCACACTCCCTGCAAGCGATACCAAACAAGATGGCGAATTTCTTGGGAATGTTAGATCTCAAGCTAGTCTGTAGATTCACAGAAAGTTTAATAAGTACTTAACATGCAGTAGAAATGATATGTCACGTAATAAATTTAGGATTTTTACACTACTCTGGCACGTGGCGTTGTTAATTGACGCCACGTTTATTGGTCTAGGGTTTCGCTAGACCCGTATCATTACCACCAGGGGAAATTGAAGCTGGTTGTGCCTCAGTCGTTGAGATCTGCCATCTTACAAGCATGTCATGGTCCGAGTAGGCACTGGCTAAATATTAGCCAAACTGCCTCTAGTCTAGCCCTAGTGTATAGCTCTTGTCACACATGAGCCTCTCAACCTGGAACTCAACCCTGGGCGAACCCAGTGCTGCAAACTGTGCAAAGTGTTGAGTTGTTTATTTTTCAACCCTGCGTTCAACCCCGCATTATTGTTTCACACTTGTTTCATGCAAATCAAGCTTATCATGGCAAGAATTTCAACCTAGTTTGAAAATTTCAACCCTGGTCTGGAGCTATCATTGATTAGGGTGTCTTTGCCTCAGGGAGGCAACACCTACATTGTCCTGTCGCCTGGTTTTAATGTACCTCCAGAACGGCTTGGTGTTGTTGTTACTGAGGTCTTCCTGGGTGACTTTGTTTATATCCCAATCTGCCCTTCTGATTTGTTTCTTGCATTCCTTCTGGAAGCAGCGATACGCTTGTCATTTGTTGTGTTTCTTGGCACGCCTATAGAGTCTCCTTTTTGTTTGATCAGTTTTTTGATGGTTCTGTTAAACCAAGGTAGAGAGGTGTTTCCTTTCCTCATCTTGTAGGGGATGTGTTTGTCGATTGCCTTCAGGAGAGTTGATTTAAACTGGTCCCACATCTGGTGTACGTCAGAGCCATTGTCTTGCATCTTTACGATATCTTGGGAAAGAGTATCCATGTCTTTAGCTAAATTCTTCCAGTTTGCACGCGAGTACAGGTAACATTTTTGGGTGCATGATGAATGTGAAATGGTTTTGCGTCGATGTCAGTTATCACGATGTCATGATCAGAGATTCCTGGCGCACAAACTGAAGACTTCACCAAGGAGGAGTTTGATGTGAACAGTAAGTCCAACAAGTTGTCCCCACGTGTAGGTAACATGTGGATTTGTGACAAATGGGCAGTGATGTCAATTAATTTTGGTTATATGTGCGTGTCAATGCTTCTTGGGTCGACAGTGCAATTGTCCCGAACAATGTTCGAGCAATTGAAATCTCCTGCGAGGATGACATGCTTATCTGAAAGCACGTTTATTGTTAGTTTTTTCAACGATCTGCTGATCGAGTTCACTTATGTCACTAGCATTTCGATGAGGCATGTAGAAACATCCGATCAGTAGTTCCCTGCTATTTTGGAGTTTAACCTTGACCCATTCTACATAATTCACAGATTGTAACAAATTCCGGTTGTTCAATTGAGATCAAGTTCCGAGGAACAAGTATAATAACACCCCCTTCCAGAGCACTGCGATCATTTCTGTATGCAATGAAGTTATCGTGGAAAATTTCGCTAGATTTGATGTAGCCTTCAGATAGGTTTTGACCAGGCTTGATGCCACTAAGCCAGGAATCAGTTCCGCAGACGATATCAGGTTTTATGTATTCCATGGCTGCGGCAAGTTCGGATCTTTTGGCTAACACACTACAGCAGTTCACGGTCATTATTCTCAGATTTTGCTTATTGGGTAAGCAATACATTGAGTAACTATCTGCAGGTAGCGATGGAGTTGAGTTAGGATGTAGATGTTGGGTACTTTGAGCTTTGTCTGGTTTTCTGTCTGTTGTTGGGCTACTTGTCTGAAGTGGGCTGAAGTTGTGATCAGAAAGAACAGTATTCACCGAGGTGTCTGGGTCCAGATGAGGTGGTAATAATTGATTGAACAATCAAATTCGTAGCTACATGTATGGAGGGTGAAGCTGCCACAATAAATACTGCTGCATTTATGGCATTCCCATTGAGCGGTGGAGCGGTTAAGCATTCAAAGTCTGCAGAACACAATTCAATACATGACTGGTGGAACCAAATACATGTACTACAGTCATCGCAGGCTACTCCTTTACAATTCTAAGTTACTGGGTACTCACATAGACCACAGGGATAAATACTGGCGTGTTTTCCACGAGGTCCGGGATTGGGATGAATGTCGCCAGAAAGCAGTAGTGCCAAAACGGTGCAGAGATGGTTCGGTTTGAATTTGCTGCAGCAGGGTTCACTTGAACTTGAGAAGTGACGATTTGGTAGCAATCGGTTTGCAGGGATACCAGGTTTACATGTCCAAGTGTACCTTAAAGTATTCAGATGCTGGTATAATTGATGGAGGAGAAACACGGTGGTGAATGTGAAGCGAAGAGTCATGGTCTTGATGGTTGAGCGATACGGTGCAGAATTTCAAAATGGCCGACCAAGATGGCGTTCACGCTGATTTTGTTTCAAGGTGGTATATTGGGCCGGTATCCAGCAATTACTCATTTGATCCTCTGCATTTTGGGGTCCAAATGGCTGGCTAAGTGATGATTGTATAGATCAGAATAAATATGGACTGTTTTTGGACTTGGATGAGGCAAAATTTCCTTGATTTGTCCGGATTGAATTGGAGCCGATAAAAACGCGACCTCTCTCTCCGCGCAGCGCGCACAAGTGACTGCCTCCGTGGGGCGCACTAGTGATTGCCTTTCATGTAGTACGCCAATGTTAACAATGTAATTTGAGTGACCAAAATCCCCACCCTGGGGCATGAAAAACGTGACCAAATCCTGACATCGGACCTGGGGCAGCACGGGGGAGGGGTGAAGGAAACATTTGATAGGCACATAAAGTGACAGAATAATTCCGATCTTATTTTGATTTTCTGCTCCCCCCTTACAACAGGACCAGTTCCACACATAGTTTTGTTGATAGTCCAGTATTTTGACCACATTTTGGGGGCTAGGGTACTTCTAGAATTAGAAGGCACCTCCCCTGTGCCTTAGTTCTAGGGGTGCCGGTCAACTCGGTCCGTAACCAACTCGTTCCATAACCAACTCGGTCCATAACCAACTCAGTCCGTAACCATCTTGATCCGTAACCAACTTGGTCCGTAACCAACTTGGTCTGTAACCATCTCGGTCCGGGCAATTCCACGCGTAACAGACTGACATTTTGGGAGGGGTTTTCACAATGTATCCCTTCTGTAAGGTTGTTGTAGTAAGTTAGAACTTAAACTCAAGTACATTTTTGTTCATTGAAAGTGCCCCTATAACCTGCAGTTTTTCTTTCCAAATTGAGTGTTCAGAGGAAAAACTCTCTAAAGGTGGCAAATAAAAAGTAATGGTACACTAAATATAATATAAAGCCAAGTCCTTGCTGCTTATAAATGGTGGTGGTTTTCGTAAATCACTGCCGGATAAAATGGCGTGATAAAAATATGCTCAGTAACAGACTGACATCGGTGGTAACAGACTGACATGCTCCGAGTTCATGTGCAACACGTACAGTAAACCTATAAATGTATGATCGCTTTGTCATGTTCATTTCCTGTTTAAACTGAAATTTTAGGTGTTTGAAACCCTTGTATAAGTACAGGTGTGATTTTGCCTGAAAATTTCAAATTTTGGACCAAAATCAAGAAAAATTATGATTTTGGCCCAAAATGTAGCGCCCTCTAGCGTTGCCGTAGAATGGTAAAAGTTGTTTGAATGCTTCTATATTGACTCAAACAATAAATTTGAAAGCATTTGAATGCAAAATGTACAAGTTATGCCAAAAATACTGGGATTTGGGGGGGGGGTTAAGCAAAAACATTTTTTTTTTTAAGTAAAGCGCCCTCTTGTGGTGGCAGTAGCAAAACCAAGTGAGTTCAAGTTATTAAGTACCTGCCAACCAACATTCTTTCCAAATTTCAGGAAAATAGACCAAAGCACATGGCAGAAGTAGTGGTCAGAATACCTTCACCTGGGCCACTGATTTGACTATGCACTTTACCCACAATGCCTTGCATCTAGAGCCATAGACTTGTGCATGTGTCAGTCTGTTACCGTCAGTCTGTTACCAACCTCGTTTCCATGGGTACGAGATCTTGCTGCGCCATGTTTTTTCCCATCATGCCTTACGCGATCTCAACCCCTGGAATTGTGTAATTTAAATGTGTCAAAATATGGCACATTATAATTAGGCTGCAGTTTATCCGTTTTACGTGCCGACGCCATCTTTAATTAATGTTGAAAGTTGTGTTTGTGAAGAATCAATGCTTTCAAACATAAGGTTTGGACGTTGCGTTATTTAGCAAAGATTTGTATTAAATGTACGTACCCCTTTCATCCCTTTATAACTGAAGATACAGGGGGTTTTTTAAGTGAAAAATGAGGCTGCCATAATCCATGTCGTACAGGCATCGTGAGTTTTGAACAACAAAAAACTTTTCGTACGTGACATGACGTGCAAAGAACGCGGCGTGCAATCTTCGAAATGCGCGCGCATATGTCGAACTTTGTCAAATTTTGATTTTCACATTTAGACCTAGTTTGCAGTTTATTTTTGCTTTAGAAGCATACTCACCCTCTTTATAGGCTGATCAGAAAGCAGTGTTGTAGTACTCGTACTCGGTACTCGTACTCGAGTACTACTCAAGTACTTTTTTTGGAGTACTCGTACTTGCACTCGAATGTCAAAGTACTCGTACTCGAAATGACGGTACTCGTACTCGGGCAGCAAAGTACTCGTACTCGACATGTCAAAATTGTACTCGATCATTATACTTGAATAGCAGTACTCTGGGGAAAAAATGTTATAGCTTCACTTACCATGGCCTTATTTTATCGATACTTTCTGTTTGAAATGGTTGATTGGCTTGTTGAGAAATCGAGATCTCCTGATTTTCTTCTGTGCAAGTCCGGACAAACACATTTAACAGCTAGCCGTGAGTGGGTCTGTATATTGGTCTGACTGGGCCTGGGCCAGGGCCAAATACGCACAATGAACCATTTGCCGTTTGGCCGTGTTCGGAAATGCGAGTACTGGTACTCGTACTCAGAAGTATAAGTACTCGTACTCATACTCGTACTCGGAAGTACAAGTACTCGTACTCGGAGACCGGTTCTTGTACTTGGAGGTACAAGTACTCATACTCGTACTCAGCAACCTAAGTACTCGGCAGTACTTGGTACTCGGAAAAAAGTACTCGACTACAACACTGTCAGAAAGTGCTGCCTTTTTCAGATATCAATTTTTCGTGAAATTTCAAGATTCGTTTGCACATGTTTGCGTATCAAAATTTCAACATGAAATTTCACGAAAATCAGACATCTGAAAAAGGCAGCACTTTCTGATTTGCCTTTAAAGAGGGTGAGTATGTTTCTAAAGCAAAAATAAACTACAAACTAAGTCTAATTTACTCTAAATGTGAAAATCAAAATTTGACAAAGTTCGACATGTTTTTGTACATGGTGGAAGTGTGGCCTTTATTTACGGAGGTAGTCCAGTAAATTGGCCACATTTATGGGGCTAGAAATGAAAGGTGTGCCAAGGCTAGACCCGTGAACGTGGCGTTGTATACAAGCCACGTTCACGGGTCTATGCCAAGGCATGCAAGGCAAGGCAGGCTAGTGCCGGCCCGGCCCATTGGTCAACCGGTAGCGATTTTTTCCCTAAACGACATCCGCAAATGATATGGGATACCGGATGTACGCTATGACGTTTTAGTCTGGACTTCTCTTTTTAAAAAAAAGGAGAAAACATATCAAACATTGTCAAATTTGGACGTTAGGCCCTATTTCCTTTAAAAACAAAGGTAAACAAAAATCACCCCGGCATAAGCCTCAGATTAGACTAGAAAAAAAGGGGGGGGGGAGAGAAGGTGATACGAAGCCATACCGCGAGGGTTGCTCACGTCACAGTACAAAATCACGACCTTCTGACCTTATAATCAAGTTATCGAACTGCTCAACAAATCCTGGAAATTCGGTGCTGGGGCGCTGTTCCCTAACGTGGCCAGGGTGACCGTAAGGTCAGAGCCAAATTCTGCTAAATGCATATCAAAAATCTGTCAGATTTATCAAAAATCTGCCAAATTCCCCAATATTACTCGAAATACACTATGATATAAACACTTAAAATCACATGCAGATTGGGTAATCTTTACTTTTAGGACACCTCTATTTTTTTCAAGTTCTGTTCAAAACTGACTTTTGCAGATGACTGTCCAGTACCAAAGGGACTTTTGCAGGCTAAAGCAGTCTTTTTTCTTCATATAAACTCATGTTAGTTGTAGTTTTGAAAGCACTTTCGAAGAAACTGTGACTTTCCTACCTTTTTTCGCAGTCAAACGTGCATGATGTAGTTCTCACACGCGTGAAAAGCCCTACATAATGAAAGCCCGATGCTGATTGGCTGCTAAAAAAAATAATTAGTCTGGTTCCCAGACCAAAAGATTCTGACTACTCCTGAATCTTTTGGTCTGGGAAAATAAATAAGTTAGTCTGGTTCTCAGACCAAAAGATTCTGACTATTTTTGAATCTTTTGGTCTGGGAACCAGACTAAAAATAAATAAGATGTTTATCTTTTATCAGTTAATCAGCATCGAGCTTTCATCGCATCGAGCTTTTACGTTTGCCATCTTGGTTTTTGAGTCTGTTTTCTGGTTGTCATCGTCGTCTTTTACCCCTGAATTTCCCTCATAAATCAAAGCCCTGCCCTCTTTCCACAAAATTAAACCTGCTGATATTCAAGAAGGTGTCATTAATTGCCATTTGTTCAGATGTGCCAAGAAGTATCAGAATGTCAATTTTGAGTGTCATTTAGTCAACTGTTTTGGTGAGTCTTTCCCTTCCTATAAAGGAACGGGGTCCTAAAAGTAAGGATTTCCGCAGATTGGTAGTGTTGCCTTAATTAAGATTCAAGTTACATAATAAACAATCTAGTCACATAAAGATGTTGTGAAATTATTGGTAAATTTCGGGCAAAACGCTGATCCGGTCACGAGGAAGTCGGCCGTTACCCAGTGAACCTCATCACCTAGACCAGCCAACCTGTCCAATTATGCAAGGGTTTGTTTGAAAGGATTGAAGCTTTTTTAAAACAAATGTACACTTTTTTGTTCAAATTTGCTGTTTTTCTTTCAAATAACCATTTTTGCAGAATTCTGACAGAAATCTGCCAAAAAAATCCGTTCTGTCAAATTTTCTGTCAAACTCGTTTTTCAACAAAAGTTCTGTCAAAGTTAGCCGATAATCGGCTAAAACGGTCACCCTGAACGTGGCGCACTTCATTAACTGCGCCTGCTGGCCCAGCAGGCCGCGCCGACGTCGCGACGCATAATATTGGCGTCGGTCATTGCCATTTGCATACATAGGATGCAACCTCGTGCCCCGTGGGTACGATCTTGCAGCGCCATGTTGTTTCCCATCATGCCTTGCGCGATCGTAACCCCTGGAATTGTGTAATTTAAACTGGCCAAAATCATTGATCTCCATATACACAGTCTGTGTATATATGGAGATCAAATCAATGGCCAAAATACGGCACATTATAATTAGGGTGCAGTTTATCCGTTTTACGTGCCGACGCCATATCTTTAAAACGTTAAAAGTTGTGATTTTGAAGAATCAATCCTAGTTTCAAACACAACGTTTGGACGTTGTGTTAATTAGCAAAGATTTGTATATATGATGTACGTACCCCTTTCGTGCCTTTACAACCACAGATACAGGGGTTTTTTTTAGCGGCTGACATAATCCATATCGTACAGGCATCGCGACTTTTGAATCATAATTTTTTTTTTCGTACGTGACGTTACGTGCAAAGCACGCGAGCGCATTATGGCGCTCCCGGCGTGCAATCTTCGAAATGCGCGCGCAGTACGCTGCGAATAGACCCCTTGCAGACGCGTTCGATAATCGACGCGCGAAGGCGCGCGACGCCATGTTGTGGGACAGGCGTATATCTATCCACGCACATTTTGTCCCATAACATGGCGTCGCTCACCTTAGCGCGTCAATTATCGAACGCGTCTGCAAGCGGTCTATAGCCATTCGGTGTCATTTACGTCATCATCACAGCCAGGGGTTAGTGTAAGGAACGAGCACGCGCCCCTGGAGTCGAGGCTGCATAGGCTGGGACTCCGTATTATCGCGGTACTTATAACGCGGAGTCGTTCAGAATAGAGATTGCCCACAAACCTTCCCGAATTGTACTGTCTTTTGTGTTGTTTTTAACTCTTTCTTTTTCAAAGTGTTTATTCCGTGTATGTACGATGCCAGTACAAATAGACATGTTCGGAGTGTGCAAACGGCGGGAAGTGGTTTTTATATTAAATGATCTCAATTTTGTTCCATAGTTAAATGTTTGACCAAAACATCCCCTGAATAAAGTCTGATATTTCCCCTGTACCGTTCAAGTTGACAAAAGACTATATGCCTGCAGGAATATTTTCTTAAGAGTTATAAGACCATAGGCGAAGCCAGGGGGGGGGATTTACCCCCCCCCCCCCAATATTTTGTAAAGACTGACTACCTTTTCTGGTAGCGCCAGTATCACAACTCGATCGATACACTTATGCTAATTTATTCTTACGTCACCACAAGTCAGGTACGTCGCAGAACTCATAAATATTATGCTGCTACAAGTGGAGAGCGGGTATAGGGGAAGGGGTTCGCATCGAAATCGGTCATGAACAGACTTTCGCCCGGAATGATAACCATCAATAAGTTGTGTTTAACAATCGCATTCGGTTGTACTAATTGGGTTCGGTTTGTATGTATAGTTGGTGTAAAATGTGTCTAATAGCATGCCTAAAGTTTGTGTACGAACAACGGATTGTTCTCGGCGGGTATACAAGGCATTTTAGTCGACAGGCAACGTGCGTTTAAAAACAATACGAATAGATATAGGGGAGCCCTCGCTCTTGAAATGCCGGACCAATGTTAAATTTATTAATTGTATCAATCGATGACAAATGTGGGGGGGGTGGGGGGGGGGTTCGTGCACCCGCTTTGTATATTGGGCAGATGATTCGGGTCCAATTTAGCATTCTACTGAGAAGTAGGTAAAAGAAGGAATGCTTTATCATGAACGCTGGCATTAATCGTTATTTAATTTGTTTATTCATTTATCTTTTTATTCTTTTCCTTTTTCACAACCATATATAAGTTACCATGTTTACAAACCCCTTGTTAATATTTAATAATATAGTTATTGAAATAAATAATTTATTTTCAATTAATGGAAATTTGGATCTGTAATATGAAAATCCTACTTGAAATCAGTGGCGCACCCAAGGGGGGGGGGGGGGGCTCGGGGGGCTTGAGCACCCCCCAAGATGTTGGTTTTTTTTTTTATTATTCCCACATTTTGACCTTGGTGATAGGTAGGCCTATGTGGCCTATTTTTGAGCAGTTTTATAGGGGTAAAAGTGGCGCCACCCGCGTCAGGCCCCCCCCCCCCCAAAAAAAAAAAACCAATTTTTTTTCTGCGTTCAAAAATCTTGGGCAAGATTATTTCTAAAATTTTGAACTTCTCTAAAAATTTAAACAAAAAAATGTGAGCCGCCCCGCGCCCCCCCCCCCCCCCCAGCCTAATCCTGGGTGCGCCACCGTGCTTGAAACAATTGTCCGGTCCCTTACTAAAAAAAAATTATCTCCGCGGTTTCAATTACTTCAATATATATGCATCCGAGGACTTCGTAGCGCCATAACCACAAAATTCCTTGGAGATGCAAATGATTCAGTGATCATTTACCTTTGTGTAAGGGAAAGTTGACCTTGCTTGTCTCAAAGTTTCCACAGTGAACAATAAATTAACTGTGTGAAGCTGAAACTGTCCACATATGCAGAAACGTTGGGTAATTTCGGTGCCAAGAGGGTTCAGTTCAGTTCAGTTTATTTCCACAGTACCAAAACAATATCAATGATAATTACAATGACAATCTTATAGAAAACAGCAGAAAAACATATTGAATAAAGTCGAAGGTAAGCAAACAATAAGTAAGAAAGATAATGTGGAGGGGCCCATAAAGAAGCAGAGCTTGTAAGAAATGGGCACCTGAGCAAGTGCGTGTGCATTGAGCCGGATAATGAGATTTTGTTTTTGTTAATTTGTTTTTTTTGTTTAGTTTTGGAAGAAAACAATTGTACAAGAAAAGTAGAAACCAAGTGTGCGAGTAAACGAGTGCAAGAAAATGAGTACTCGTAATCGGACCCGTACATCAGAATATGAATGACCAGGCTCAATGCACATGCACCATAAAAATGAAACACAAAACTCTCTTAATTAAACTTACAACGGACGGAAACAAACAAATATGACTGATACAACTACGACAACGACAGGTCAGCAATGTACAAGTATATAAAAAAATTGAAACCTCAATTTAGCAGTAGGATTCCAACAAAGTGGACTTAAATATGCGTTTAAATACAGACAGATTTTTAGAAGTTTGGAGTTGATCATTTAGCGAATTCCAAAGCTTGGGTCCCTCGTATTTGACTGTGTTATGTGCAAGAGAAGTACGAGTATAAGGCACATGAAAGCTGGAGGCTTGACGAGTAAAGTGAGAATGAATGTCACGATTGTGGGTAAATATACTTTTAATTGAAGATGGTAGAGTATTACGGGTAGATTGATACATGAGGGACCCAAGCTGATGGTAATAAATATCTTTAACTTTAAGAGTTTTATGTTTACAAAAGAAGGGATTTGTATGTGAGTTAAAGTCGGCATAATTAATAATACGTAATGCCTTCTTTTGAAGAAGTAACAGCCTGTTCAGTTTAGTGACCGAACTGGCCCCCCAGGCAAGTGTTCCATAATTAAGGTATAACTAGATTAATGAGTTATATAAAGAATCTAGAACACTTTTTGGAACAAAGTATTTGATCTTATTAATTACACCAGTATTTCTAGAAACTAATTTACTTAGATGGTCAATGTGATTATTCCATTTTAATCCAGAGTCAATAAGCAAACCCAGAAATTTACAGCAATCGTTTTTTTTGGATAACGGTGTTAAGAATTTTAACTTCACATTTTTACTTTTACTTTGCAATATTAAGAGATAGCTTATTGACATTGAACCAATTAGCAACAGATATAAGTTCATTGTTCACCTTGTTGATCAGATAGTTAAGGTTACTATGAGAACAGAATATATTAGAATCATCAGCAAACAATATAAAAGAAAGTTCCTCAGAGGATTGTGTAAAATCATTAATGTATATTAAAAAAAAAAGGAAGGGTCCCAATATTGATCCTTGGGGTATGCCATGTGTGAGAAATCTAGAATTTGAATTACATGTAGTACCGTCGATAGATACATATTGGGATCTGTTTGAAAGATAACAATTAAACAACTGAAGAGAAGTTCCTCGTATTCCATAGTGAGAAAGCTTATACAATAAGATGTCATGGTCAATTGTATCAAAAGCCTTTGAGAGATC